CTTCGTCTGGACGACTGAATCGAAGCTCGTCTGGACGACTGAATCGAAGGTTGTCTGGACGACTTACTTGAAGGTCGTGTAAAGAAGTCGTCCAGACGACATAAATAAAGACATAAATAAGGACATAAATAACATCCATCGTGGCCTGGACGACTGAATCGAAGGTCGCCTGGACGACTGAATCGAAGGTCGTTTGGACGACTTATTTGAAGGTCGTCTGTACGACTTACTCAAAGGCTAGTCAACCGGGTTCTTACATTGTGGACGCTTATGGCCCGTTTCTTTGCATCCTGAGCACCTATAAACCATGTGTTGCTTCCGGGGTTGTGTTCTCTCATCCTGGATAGCTCCAACCATGATTGCCATCTTGATTTCTTCCGTCTCCCTGGACCACGCTTTATTTCCGGAGGAAAGCATGTACGTGCCTCAATTTGTTGTCCAACACAAGGATATATATTCTCTGAATATCATGCAAACAAAGTATGCTTTGAATATACCGGAGATACAAGTGTGGAGATATGCAAACTAGCTGTTGTTCCAGCTTCTATAGCATGACAACAAGGGATTTTCTCAACTTGATAGACACCACAATCACACTTTCACAAAGAACTTCCATTCATCAATTTTTTGGACTCTCGGGGTATCTGCGATCTCCCACGAACAGCAAGCAAGTGTTCAACACCTCGACTATGTTGAGTTGTAAGACTCAACGCATCTCCTCTCCTTTTCCAATACCATCTTCATAGCTTCTCCCTTATGAACTCCAACAGGAACTGAATAGGAAATCCTCTTGCTCGCTTCAGTGCGGAATTAATTGATTCAACGATATTGCTCGTTTTTAAGTTGTACCAGCGATTCTGTCTCCGGTGGAACATGTAAGAGTTTTCAAATACTTGGTTACCCAAAACGTCTTAGTCCCATGTTTCATACTTGCTCTGATCTTCCATTGACAACCACTAACCCGACATGTTGCCACAAAGAGAGTTTTTGTTGACTTGTAAACTCTGAAGGAGAACCTGCGCCTCACCGCGCTCAACCGCAACTCTGAAAGCAGTGCATCCTTGCTAGTAAAACTCTGGTTTACATAGATTCTTTCTGCAGATGATCCTTTTCCCTCACAGCCATATNACAAAGAGAGTTTTTGTTGACTTGTAAACTCTGAAGGAGAACCTGCGCCTCACCGCGCTCAACCGCAACTCTGAAAGCAGTGCATCCTTGCTAGTAAAACTCTGGTTTACATAGATTCTTTCTGCAGATGATCCTTTTCCCTCACAGCCATATGCCTCTCCGTAATCTTCAAAACAAATTTCATCATCTTCTTCCTCATACTCGTCTTTAACATTTCCAAATTGACTGTAATCCTCAGGATCATAAAAATCTTCAGCGACAACAGGGATGTCAGCATCCTCCTTCCCATCATGATCCTCAGCTACATCCCCCTCCTGATCTTCATCCCCCACATCAGCTTCATCCCCCTCTTGTTCTTCATCCCCCACATCAGCTGCATCCTCAGCTTCATCCCTTTCCTCTGAAACCGTTCTCATCGTGCAAAAGCTTGATACACAAAGACGTACTTCTTGCGTTTTGGTTATCTCGAGCAAGTTCGAACTTGTCTATCACTTGTAACATGAATAGGAGGAAGGTCTGGAGCTGGTAATGAGTAGCTAATCTCCACAGTGACTCTGCTCATGTCCAGGTTATAATCTGCTTGAGCCATTGCAACAAGTTCAGCATGTGTTGAATCTTCATTCAATAAAAACAATCTTGCTCCTTTGAAACGATCAACCACAAAATTCCAACAACCATCTTCCAACAACCATTCTCCATACACTGCACGTAACTGATGCATCATCTGAGATAGTAAAAATAAAACACATTAGCAAACATAGAAGAATGAAAACGAAACTTTATTAGAGATCGAAGCAGACGACTAAAATGTAAGTCGTCCAGACGACTAAACATTCAGTCGTCTGGTCAACGCAGAGGTTATTTTTGCAATTGACTTTGAAATCAGTTAGTTGGGACGACTGAAATATCAGTCGTCTGGGTATGCTTGATAAAAAAAATCCAGACGACTGAAAATTTCAGTCGTCGAAGGTTAGTTTTGCATTTGACTAGAATATTTCAGAAGTTTGACTTTTTAGGACGACTTACATTTCAGTCGTCTGCGTAAAAATGAAATATCAATATTTTATTGAAATTGGACGACTTACATTTCAATCGTCGTAGGTTAGTTTCTTAATTGCAAAAACAAACTTCAATATTTAAAAAAAATCTAGACGACTGAAATTTCAGTCGTCCCTGGGACGACTTACAATTCTGTCGTCTAGGATTTACGAGGTTTGACCAGAATCTCGGAATAAAATCTTGGACGACTGAATTGTAAGTCGTCTGGCGGACGACTGAATTGTAAGTCGTCTTGAGAGTTAAAGTTTTTTTTCACAATTGCAAAACTAACCTATTACTACTGATGTAAGTCGTGTGTTCCAATAAAATATTGATATTTCAGTTTTTTCGCAGACGACTGAAATTTCAGTCGTCCTAGAAAGTCAAAATTCTGAAATTTTCTAGTCAAATGTAAAAATAACCTACGACGACTGAAATATCAGTCGTCTAGATTCTTAAGATATTTCTTTGTAGCCAAAATAAAGTAGACGACTGAAATTTCAGTCGTCTCTGGAAACAAATTGCAAAGTCAATTGCAAAAATAACTTCTGCATTGACTGGACGAAAGCAGACAACTGAAATTTCAGTCGTCTCGATTTCATACCTTTAATTGGTGAGAACACTTTCTTTGACTATATGAACCCTAGAAAATGTAGAATCAAGCACTCATGATCTCAAACGAAGGTAATCCACCCTGAATCTTTAATTTCTTTGACTATATGAACCCTAAAAAATGTAGAATCAAAATCTTGGGGTTTTTAGCTCACTGTGGAGAGAAAGTGAGAGATATGTGTTGTAATGTGTTGTTTAGTTCATGAGAACAGAGAAAGAAGAAGGGTAAATGGAATTTGGAGGCATTAAGAGCTTCAAAATTGGTTGTTTATGGTTGTTGGAGTATTGATGACAATGGCAATTTTGTAATTACTTGAAGATGATGAGGGTGGTAGAGTAAATATGTCATTTTCGAAAAGAAAAAAACAAATTGATGGCATTTTCATGAATTATATGAACTTGTGGGGTGAATTGGGTTTGTGGGGCAAAAAGCCCTTTAAATTACTCCCCGATTAGTCCACGATTAATCTCCAATTTTTTCATAAATCGCTAGGTCCAACCTGAACGTACGCATAACGCCTAGCGAATTCTCAAAGGAAAAAATACACTTAATATGTATAGTTGAATAGTTTGAAAACATATCACATTATATAGTTCAAATTTAAAATATTTTCCATCAATATTATTAGGTGGACCAATATTTGTTACCGTTCATCATATCTATAACATTATTTGAGAAGTAAATTTGCTTAGTTGTCAACTTCTCCTTGATTTTAGGTAAATTTGCTTATTTTTATGTTTTAATAATTTATTATATAATATAAACGAATTTATGTTAATAATATTATATTTTTAGAAAATATGTTAATTCTTTTATATTAGATTGTTATCTTAAAAATATATTTCTCAATTATTATTTTAAAATTAAATTTGCTTAGTTGTCAATTTCTCCATGATTTTAGGTTATTTTGCTTATTTTCATGTTTTAATAATTTATTATAAAATAAAAAAAAAGAATTGATGTTAATAATATTATATTTTAGAAAATATGTTAATTCTTTTGTATTAGATTGGTATCTTAAAAATATATTTTCAATTATAAAATTTAAGTGAATTTGCTGATTAATTTGTAACTTTCACGTTGAAAGTTAGAGGGGTTAATACCGTTTATATCCTTAATGAATAATTAAATTTTTTAATATAACTAAACATAAATAAAAAACGTATCAATGATTTAGATTTATCTAAAACTATTTTATATTGGGTTATAAAGTCTTTATTAACATTGAAAAATAATTATATTAGTTAATATATAATTAATTATAAATTAAAAACAAATTTCATTTATTTGATAATTATCCTTATTTTAATTTTTTTATATTATGTGATAAAGTCTTTATCAACCTTAAAAAATAATTATATTTGTTAACATATAATTAATTCTAAATTAAAAAATGATCTCACGAATTTGATAATTATCTTTATCTAACTTTTTTATATTGTGTTATAAAGTCTTTATTAACGTTGAAAAATAATTATATTTTTTAACATATAGTTAATTATGAAAAATCAATTCGGAAAGAATTTATGTATAGATAATTTATATTGTGTTATCCAAAACATTATTAAAGATAATTTTTTTATGTCTAAAAATGATATTAATTTATTACTAAATGTTTTAAGTTCATGAGTATTTTTAAATATAAGTTGTGTAATGAAAATTATTTATATGATGATGAAAAGTTTTATATATAAAAAGAATTTGTTTCCTTTATTATTAAATATTTTGAGTCTGTGAACTATAATTTATTATAATTTACATAAATTAATTATATATTTATTTATAAATATTAGTAAAATTATTAAGCCCGCAAGTGCGGGCAAAACACATAGTTAATCAGGTAAGACTGAACCCTAACCCAGACCAGTCAATACAATTATTAAAAAATACATATATATATATATATATAAAATACAATAAAATTAGAAAAATTGTAGATTTATACTAGCATTATTATTTAATATAATAGATTTAAATTAAGTTAAACCGTTTTAAAATAGTTTAAACTAATTTAAAATGGCTAATAAGAAAATCTGTCTAGTAAAATTATTTTGTTTATCTCGATAAGTAGTACCACCTTTATCGAAAGAAAAAGAAAAAGCCGAATCTAATTAATTAATTAGTAAATTAACAGAGTCGTTAAGCACGAAAATAGTGGTTAGAGACAGAGCAGAGGAGCCAGCGAAGGTTTTTAATTGAAAAAAAAAGAAACCTAAAGTGTGAAGCCGTGGAGGAGACAATAGAATCATAAAAAAAAAATCAAACTCCTTTTCCTTCCTCAACCACCAAATCAATCTCTCTACGTTCCAAAACGGCGTCTAGTTAATGCCTGGAAGCCACGGAGAGATCACGGTGGATGAACAGAACGGAGTCGATAACGATCACAAGACGACGACGAGAAGGAGGAAGAAGAAGAAGGAGAAGGAAGAGGACGAGAATCAATCAGTAATACCCTCAATTTCAAAACCCAGGAAGCGATTTATAGATAAATTCAGAAAGAAACCCAAATCACCAAAACGATCATCATCTTCTTCGTCTTCTCGTTCTGGTGGGTCCCATAAAGGAGGATGCTTTTCTTTAAGGAGGCGACGGAGAACAGAGGAGGAGGAGGGTTCTCCTTCTTCTCCTGTTTCTGACCCTAACGATGAATGCTTTACTCATGAGATGTTGAGAGTTATGTTAGAGACTAATGATTTCTTCTCTAATGACTGTAATCCACATCGGTGATTTTGTGTAAGTTTTTTATTAATTGTGGGGTGGGAGGGGGGGGGGGAATTCTTGTTATAGATTTATTTTTATTTTTATGCTCAATCTGTATAAATTTTTTATGCCTATCAATGTTTTTTTTTTCTTATGGTGTCACACCAATGAGGATGATGATGATCATCTATCAGTATGATAATCAATTGTGTATGGAATCGGATTCGTATAGCAGAGTGTGATTGATATGGTTAGGTTAAGGTTTTCATTGAATTGGGTTATTTTTTAGCGTTGTAGGAGATCAAAGGTCAATGTATAGCTTTGTAGGATGATTTGTGTCTTCTCTCTAATGTGCCACCAAATGGTAAGATATTATTCAAGACAGAGAGTGGCTCTATTTGAAGAAGTTCAGGTGCTCACGCCTTGGCTTATAGGTCTAGAGTTACAAGTAGGCATTAGGACTGAATATAGCCAGCTTATAGCTGATGGTCTGACTTAAGGATGTCTCAGCATATTGTGTTGGATGTGCTGAATGTTCTAGTGCTTGGTTGGGTATTTACCGTATTTTGTTGAGAGCTTAGTGTCTCTCATTAATGTAGTTTGTTCTGGTTTAGTGAATCGAAGAAGAAGAAGAAGAGTAGGTTTTAACATGTTAAGTTGTTCTCATATCAGCAATTGTACAATGGATGTGTCCAAATAAGGAGGACTATTCGAAAGAAAGCAGTATTTGAGCACTTGCGTTTATGGTGATTTTGCTGTATGAGTATGGTAGCTTGTAACTACTCCCCATTTTTTAGGTTTATTGGAGCAGCTCGAGTTTGTTTCTTTTGATCTGTTTACTATGACACACTATGTGAAGTGTAGAGACAGTGATACATAAAACTAGTCGTAACTAAATAACCAAGGAAGTAGTGTTGTCCATTGTCCAGCTTGATGCATACCCTTAATATAGTTGGTAATGCTGCTAAGAAAAGCACTGTTCTGATCATATACTTACTTATACAAATCTACATGCTAGTAGACAGATGACCTGATCATACTTTTGAAAAATACGGTAGATCCTAATAACAAAACTTTTTCTTTTGTCAATTGAAGACAAAACTTTTATCTACTTATCATTGCAATCCAAGTTGGGATAATTTAATTATGTAAAGGTGGATACCTACCCACCAACAAAGATCCTTCTTCCTTCCTTCGCCGCCATTTTGTCCCTTTACCACAAAAAAAAAAACAAACAGGAACTAGGTAAACCCCAAAATTTCAGCGAAAACCTAATAACTCGAAACTCAAAATACTTCAACGGCGAAGAACTATACGACTAGAATCCTCTTGGGCTGTAATGGGTAAAAGCAATTTGATTACTCCCGAGTCCAAGTGATGTATAAAAAAGGGAAAACCTTCCAAGTCTGAAACTTAAGTACTTAACAGCATCATCCACAATGTTGGTTTTTTTTAAAGTGCCACCCAAAAGTAATAATAAAATGTCAAAAAATATGAAAGAGAATGTCAAAAAATATGAAAGAGAATGTCAAAAAAATTTGAACGGGCTTTTGTTTGAGAAATTATAAACAAAATAATTTTTTTTTTGCTAAAATTCGCAATTATAAAAAAAAATTAAGAGACTAACTTTACATTTGTCCAAGGTGCTAGTTTGTCTCACCAAATCTGTTTCTGTATATAAGTTTTTGTTCTAATGTCTCTATGGTTGTGTGTGTGTGTGTGTTATGTTTCTCTTCTTTAGGGCCTAGTCTTCAGAAGAACTTGTTTTTTTTGCTGGAAGACCCGGCCTTGAGGGAAAGCTCGAAGTATGGATTTCCGGCCTTCAATAATACACATAATAAATTAGAATAAGACATGCACCTACGCATGGTGAATGTATGTAATTAAAATATAAAATTGTAGTATTGATAAATTTAAAATTTACATATGATTGTTTTATATGTATTTGAAATTTTACAATTTTGGAGTTTTTGTATAATTATCTATACGTAGGATCAGAAACAATTGTAATTAAAACTGTAGATCAAAGCTTAGAATTTAATGGACCCGATTTCATATATCTTTTCACTTTTCAGTGTTCAAATGATGGAAAATAAACGGAGTGTCACTGCGCTTGATTGGTAGAGTATTAGCAAGTTCCTAATGCTTTCTTAAGAAGCAGTTGGTAAAATATTTACAGTTAAAATATATAAAGTTTCACAAATAATTTAATATAATTTATTTATTTGTATAATAATATTAGAAAATTATAGTTTTACAAAAAAAAAATTAAATAATTTTATAAAAAATAAGAAATTTTAAATTATTTTTAAAAACAATATTTTAAGTTTTCCAAATACAAATAAGTTAAAATTAATTATGGTAATGATTTAACATAACCATAATGATTTAAAAATTAAAAAAAAATAAAAATTAACAAATTAAAAATTAACTCAGTTTTATATCATGATTTAACAATTTAAAAATGAATTATGGTTATGAGAAGTTTACGTTCGCGTGTCAATCCTATTTATCTTCAATTTTTTCTCTTGTTGTGTTTTATTTTATTTTATTTTGGTTATTACTGGATATAAATATTTATTTTGAAGTTTATTCTCATTTCTTTTCTTTTGTTTTGACATGTGATTTAGAAAATACTTAAGATTTAAAATAATTAAAGAGATACATACTTAGGTCAAAATCTGCACTTTATGCACAATAAGTATTTTATATTTATTATTTATTTTATATTTTTCTGCATATTATAAAATAATAAAATAATAAATAAATATATATATATATATATTAAATAACTAAGAAATCAGTTACTATTATGTAATACATTGGCGTATGCATATAAATTTCACTATCACTCTTGTTTATTTGCAATTAGGGTAAATCAAAATAATCAATCTTATATATTGTATATGATATATAATTAAATTTAAATGATATAAGCATAGTAATATATCACATTTTTAATATGTATATTTATTAAATGAGGTTTCTACTCATATCATTTTATGATTATTTGCATATTTGTGTAACAAAACTTTACAGCAACGAATTTTTTTAATGTGAGATGTTTAGTAGTTTCAATAAATTTTAATCATTTTAAAAATACAATGACATATTTCAAAATTAAAATATTAACTTTTTCAATATATGTTCAATGCAAATATCAAAATATAAGTATGTATTTTCATACAATGTGTAGTTTAATTAAACGATATGAAATATATATAAAATAAAATTATTTCTTCTTATGGTCTTATAATCATTATATTTTAATATAGAAAAAAAATTAAAACCTTGATCCTAAAAGTTTATGTGAGACTTTTAAAAGTTTTAGTAATTTATACTCATTTTGAAAAATTCGAAATACAACATACACAAAAAAAATCTAGATTTTTATTATATGATTAATGTAATTATGTAATTTATTTTTAATAATAAAAAATAAACAAAATGAGATAAAGTATACAGACTGTTATCAAATATTTATTGTTTAAAATAATTAATTGTCATATATATATATATATATATATATATATATATATATATATATATATATATATATATATATATATATATATATTTTAAATCACATTAGGTAATTCCGTAGGTTTTAATTAAGGAAAGCATGCGAAACAATAAATATTTAATATATGCGACCAATTATAGCCTATAAAATATTATATTGCTAGAGAATAATTTTTAGACTATACATTATATTACATGCTTTAGATTCCTTCTAAATTGAAATAGAAGACAAATAGCTATGCCACATATGATTAGGGTTATTTTTAATTATTACAAACTTAAGGTTACAACTTTTTAAATGATTCTCTTTTAATATATAGGGGATTTGGCCAGTTTTTCTCTAAAAATCTCTTTAGTTTAGTGGTGTAGATTATCTTTTTAAGATCTAACCAACCTAAGTTCAAACGTTTCATTATTCCATAGCCAGCCTTTTTTTACTATTAGCTTGCGGCCAAATGTCAGGGCCACTACTGCTTGCTGGCTATGTATTTCACAAAGGCATCCTACCTTGTATCTTGTCTTGTTTGTAAATAAAATTTTAAGTTTTTTTTTTTTTTTACATTTTTCACATGATATAGCCATTTCAGAAAAATAAAATTTAACTATATGATTCAGTAACTTTAAAATAATAAAACCTTTCTTGAATAATGTATGGTTGATGATGTTCTAAGAGTAATTTCATTGGCAAATTTCTCAAATGTAGATTATTAGCTAATTAATATTAATATTTTGACAGAATTTAATTATTTATTTAAAACTAATTACGGTAGATAAATTGAGCCAACATAAAAATAAACATGTGTTTGTCATAGTATATCAAGAGTTTTTTTTTGTAAAAAAGGCTCATCTCAAGAGTAACTTCACTTGCAAGTTTCTCATATTTCTTTCTTTCCTAATTTTTCTTTAACTTATATAGTATAAAACACTACAAAAAAAGAGGTAGATTAAATCACTTAAATTGTATCACAAAATTAAGTGATTCTTTTTTGAATTATTTATTTGTAAATGATACAAATATAAAATTTAGCATCAATTATAAAAAGTGATATGTTTATTAATTTTTTTAACATCATTTGAATAAACGATATATTTATTATGTAATTGGTATCACTTTTTTAAAAATGATTTAATTACTTACAGTTATATCAGTTAGATAAATGATGTAGTTATTTTTATTGTTGCCATCACTTATTAAATAATACAAATTTGCATCAATAAAAACTGAAGCTAATACAAATACGTATATATCATGAAATATATTTTGTATTAATAATATTATACATGTGATAAAAAGTTAAATTAAAACTAATCATAAAAAATAAAAGAAAAATAAAAATTTGGGCTAGAAGGAAAAATAGGTTTAGCCGTCGTACGTAGATAACACTGACGATCGAACAAAACAAACTTGCAGCGATCGCCTTCCTTTTAATCAGATTAGCTTTTGGTAAAATCTAAAAGCTTTAATAATAAGAGAAAGCTAATTAAAAGAGGTACGTAGGTCTTCTATACATATTTAGTTCAAAAAAGTCTTGTATATACATACGGTAAACAATTTAAAATTTCCTCTTCGCACTGTAAAGTGTTTCTATCTCTTTCTCAGGAAAAAGAGCTTCGAAATCGTTGGTGAGAAATTTTTAAGAATCAAAATTGCATACAATAAGGTAACTCGATTCCATGTTTAGTTAACGTGCCTTTTTTTTATTTGAACTTTTTGGGTTTGCATTTTAATAGTTCTCTGCAAATTTCTAAACTTTACACACTATGAAAAATTGTATTTTCAGGTATCGATGGATAAATCTTGGATAAACAAATCACGTTTATCTCAATATTACAGATTAAGAATGAAAAATTTCTTGGAATTTGTCTTTGGTAGATCTAATGCAAGCATGGTGAAATGTCCATGTAACCGCTGCACTCTAGCTAAATCTAAAACAAGAGAAAAAATTGAAGGTGATCTGATATGCTTTGGTTTCTTAAATTCTTACACAAGCTGGATATTACACGGAGAGGATACATGTGCCACAAGGAATACAAGTATACCTTCTGATATTGCTCAGGGTAAAGCAGATTCAACTTTGAATCTCTTGGAAGATATTTTTCCTGACATAAGTACGAATATGCATGCTGAACATGGTCTAGGATCGTCTGAGAAACCTATGGATATTGAAGGACCATCAACTTCAAGTGGAAACTATGGAAAAGGAGAAGGTTTTGATGAGTTGTTTGCTGACTATAATCAAGAGCTATATCCAGGATGTAGTAAGTTCAAAAAGTTGTCTTTTATACTGAAGTTATACCATATCAAATGTATGTGTGGGATTAGTGACAAGGAGATATCCATGGTACTTGAGCTGATGAAAGACACTTTTACACATGCCAAATTGCCAGACTCATTTAATGAGATGAAAAAAGTTATACGCAAATTAGGAATGGCTTATGAGTCAATACATGCATGTCCAAATGATTGCATGTTATATTGGGAGGCCGATGCAGAAAATGAGATTTGTAAGGTCTGTGGAGCCTCTCGATGGAAAAACTGTGCTTCTACAAAAAACATTGTTTCTGGATCGGATCAGGAAAAAAGTAAAGCTCCTGCCAAAGTTTTGCGTTATTTCCCTCTAAAGCCACGATTGCAACGTTTATTCATGTCATCAAAAACTGCTAGTCACATGAGATGGCACGCAACAGCTAGTAATAATGATGGTAAGCTTCGCCATCCAAGAGACGGAAGGGCTTATAAGGGATTTGATCAAAAATATCCAGAATTTGCAGCTGATCTTAGAAATGTCAGATTAGGCTTGGCGACTGATGGTTTTAACCCATTTGGTACAATGAGTAGTAGTTATAGCATCTTGTCAGTGATATTATTTCCTTACAACTTACCACCATGGATGTCAATGAAGCAGACATCAATGAAGCAGACATCAATGATCCTTTCTATGGTTATCCCTGGAAAACACATGCCTGATAATGATATTGATGTCTACTTACAGCCACTTATCAAAGAGTTGAAGGATTTATGGTTTGATGGGATTGAAACACTAGATGCTTCCACAAAACAAACATTTGACATGCGAGCAGCTATCATGTGGACAATTAGCGAATTTCCTGGTCTAGGAAATTTGTCGGGTTGGAATACGTATACATCATCAGCTTGTCAAAGCTGCAACTAGGATGGCATCGGAAAACTTTTACACCACGGAAAAAATAATTGTTTTACTGGTCATCTGCGCTTTCTTCCTTTAGATCATGATTTTCGTCAGAATGTAACAGATTTTGACGGAAAAATAGAAACCAGAGGTCCACCAGCCACATTGACAGGTACTACAATTATTCAGCAATTAGAAAAAGTCAATGTTACTCTTGGTAAGAAAAATGTTTTAGTGGGAGTTGGAAGAAAGGGATATTGAAGTGATGGTGGAAGATCTAGCTCTCAGCAATAGAAAAAAAAGTATATTCTTTGAGTTGCCGTATTGGGAATTTTCAATGCTGCGACACAATTTAGATGTGATGCATATAGAGAAAAATGTGTTTGAAAATCTAGCTTACACTATTGGGTGACAAAAAAAGATCAAAAGATAATCTGAATGCTAGAAAAGATCTTCAGGATCTAGGTATACGTTCTGACTTATGGCCTGATGATAATGAGAAGTATCAAGCTGCATCTTTTTCTCTTAACAGCCAGGGGAAAGACACTTTTTTAAGTGTCTTAAAGGATGTAAGACTACCAGATGGTTATGCTTCTAACGTACCAAGTTGTGTTGATGTTAATGGTCGAAAGCTATCAGGCTTAAAAAGCCATGATTGTCACGTGATAATGAGAGATTTATTTTCAGTTGGAATTCGGAATCTGCTCCCAACAGATGTGTCATCAGCCCTTGTCGAGCTTTGTCAGTTTTTTAGAGACATATCTGCAAAGGTCCTTGTTATTGATGAGCTTGATAAATTACAAGACCGTATTATGCTGACTTTATGTTGTATGGAGATGTTTTTTCCTCCATCATTTTTCACAGTAATGGTACATTTAATAGTACATCTCACAGAAGAGGCGAAACTCGGTGGACCAGTTCCATATCGCTGGATGTATCCGATTGAGAGGTATAATTTTTTTCATTATAAGTTTGTATATATATACACAAAATTGAAAACTTACTTCATTTAATTATCTACAGGACTCTAGGGCACTTCAAGTCTTATGTTCGGAATCGGGCTAAGCCTGAAGGTTCTATATGTGAACAATATTTAGCTGATGAGTGTGTAACATTTTGCTCAATGTATCTCAAGGATATAGAGACACGATTTACTCGAACTGCACGCGTAGATGATCGACCGCTCGCTGAGACTAGCATAAGATCAAATTCAGAACTTCCACTAATGTTCCCAAACAATGGAAGATTTGTTGGAGCCGGTCATGTTTATACGCTTAACCATGTAGAGAGGCAACAAGCACATCGACATATTTTGGTCAATTGTAAACTCCTTGATCACTTAAGAGAGTAAGTGTTTCTCATCCAAGAACAACTATTTTAATCATGTTTAGCTGAAGGTCTCTAATAGTTACCAATACATTTTATATCAAGAGCATTATTTCTTGACTACTTAATTGTGCCATCTTGTTGATCACATAGACACGTTCTGTTGGTCCAAAATTGCTGATATCTCCTATAATATCAATATCTGATTCAATGTCCTTAATTATTTAGTGAAGGATAATTATAGCTCTCAATTTTCGTGATCTTAACAAATATATATGATGTCTAATATAATATGATTTTGTGATTCTACAATAACTACTTCTTACGTGTTATACGTACATGACCAACACACAAACTTAAAAAATCTAAAATAAGTGAAACAAAATCTAGATATATCCCGCTTAATTTATCATCCAGGAGGAAACTGATTTCTTATTTTGATATTTTTATTTTAATAAAAACTACCCACCACTAATTCCCTTAAATTGTTGGATTCAGGGTTTCTAAAAATCTACTTCACGTCCTCCAAAAAGAAAAAAACCGCCAGAGACCAGAGAGCTAAGGTTGATAAAATCGCATAGGATCAAGGTAAAGTAGCTCTTCGATTCAATTGTCTTCTTATATCGATGTCTTCTCTACACTTTAAATAAATAAGAAAGGGTTATGGATTCACATATTCGTTAATTTCAATTGTTTTAGGATCATGGATTTCATGGATTCAGAAACACAAGAACCAGATGATTCACCATATTTGGAAACAGATTATGACATGCCTCCTCCACTTGCTCCTGAATGTAAAAGCTTCAAATGGAAAGTACAAGTGATAAGTAATTAAGTTTAAGCGTAACTCTTTAATTTATAAGTTAAGATTCACAAGGAGAATATATATACCTGTCGTAAGAAAATATATACATGTCGTAGTTTTACTCAATCAAAACTTTGAAAACATATCTTTAATCAATCACAGCTTTGAAAACAAAGTGGATGGATATTTAATCTTACACTCTGTTTAGGCGTAGACTATCTATGTTTTTTTTTTGCTGGATTAATGGTTAGGATTAAGAAATATATTATATGCTAATTTGGCTTTTATATATCTTTTTCTGATGAACAAGATGATGATGGAAATATCGAAGGCAAAATGGTAACATCTAAAGATGTATGCAAATTTTAAAACAGCAAAGTGATTGTGCATTTTGATGAAGATAGCGGCCAACCAATTGGAGAATCGGGAGGTTTACTAGGATCATGGTTAGGTCAGTTAAGCAATGATGTGAATTTTCTACCCATTAACTACAGTGACTGGAGGATGGTTAATTCTCACATTAAAAGTAAGGCATGGGAAGTAATTCAGGTAACACAACATTTATTTATCTCTATCAATTGTTCTAATTTTGAGATATTTAAAATATTACTTTGGTCTCATGAATCGTTGTATGTTTTATTCTTTCAGTCCAAATTCAGGTTTGATGATCCACATACGATAAAAGTATTTGTGCTGGGTGCATTAGGTAGCAGATGCAAAGATGTCAAACTTTGAGTGAGACACTGCAGAATCGACCCTAGAAGGTTCCAGAAAATTAGTGGGGTCAATTCGTCCACATGAGATTCACTGAAAAGTGGAAGGTATAATTTATTTTTTAAATATTTATATTAGTTGTATATCAAATATAAGTTATCTTTTTATGTTTTAGAAAATGCAAGAACGGAATACAAAAAACCAAAAAAAGCATACTATGCCTAATGTATGTGTAAGAAAGAGTTTTTCAATAAGAACAAATGAGATTGTAAGTAAATTTAGTTTCAATATAAATTTAGTTTAACATACTGATATTCTATATTTTTTATGCATGTATGTTTTATAAAGAAAATCAACACTGGAAGAACACCATGTTGAGCAGAGTTTTTCATCGAAACTCGAACAAAACCTAATGGAAGCTTCGTATGTGAAGAAGAAAAAGAACGCGCAGTTAGTTTTATGTTAAATTACCATTGCTTGATGAGTTAACTATACATGATATTTATCTATTATTTTTTTATTAGGAAGCACTTACTACTTTGTTGAGTCAAAATCCGCGCATCACAAAAAATGTTACAGCCAGTTTGGATGATGAATATGCACAAGTTTTTGGACCAGAGCGTCCAGGACGAGTGCGATGTGTTGGTCGTGGACCTACACCTTCAAAGTTGGTGTGCCGCTCAACTGCAACTAGACCAGATATTGAAAATTCAGAAATGGTTGTAGAGTTGAAGTCACAAGTGAAAGAATTATCAGACCAAGTCAAAGGAATGAGTACATTCATCCAACAAATAATTGGTACTTCTTCTGGTGAACAAGTAATAATATCATATATAAGTTAAATTACATTATTATATTTTGATATATAAATCTAATATATTAAACTAAATATTTAGGCAAGAGCATGGGCTGCTAGTTTTGCAGTTGCTTTTGCTAACATACCAGATCCGACGTTTGCCAACATACCAAATCCACCTAACCCAAATCAGGTAAATTGTATTTATATTTTAATTATAATAAAAAAATATTAGATGACTAATATATTTGTTAAATCTTTCTGTCTCAGGGAAAGGAGTGATGCAATTGATGGAAATATTCAAATGGCAGGAGGATGTGGTAGCTAATATTTGGTTAAGTATATTTTTAGTAACTTTGAATTATTTATGTTTTATGAATTTGCATGGTGGAACCTATGTAATTTGCTTTCTAATACATTAGTTACTATTTGGATTTGTTTTTAGCCAGTTATTTTATTATTATATATTATATAAATTCTTAAATTTTAAAATCCGTTTTATACTATATATTATAAATATGTAAATAAAAATAATTTTTGTATCATTTCTATAAGTGAAATGTATTAGAATCATTTATAAAATTGATATATGTTTAACATAATTTATTTACAAATGATAACAAAAGTTTGAATCAGTAATTGTAAATGATACAATTGTTAAAATCATTCCAGAAAATCGATATAAATTTAACATCGGTTATGTACAAATAATACTAGTTTAAATCTCTTGTTGTAAATGATTCAACTGTTAACATCATTTCCAAAAATGATATTATTTTAAATCATGAATAGTAAATGATTTAAATATTACAATCAGTTTATTAAATTGACACTAATACAAACATCATTTAGAACAAATGATGTAAATGATAACATCATTTTTAACAACCGACACATATTAGCATCACTTGAAATAAGTGATGAAAATCTTTGTTATTTATTACATCAGTTATGAACAAAATGATACAAATTATTTGCATCACAAAAAGTAAATCACTTATTTAAGTGATGTAAAAGACTTTTACATCATTTATAACTAATACAAATATATAAAATAAATGATTCAAACTAACTTTTTTTTTGTAGTGAAAACCCTAAGAGAGAGCACGCCTAGGCTTGCTTTGCTAAGAAAGATGGAAGGATTAAGCTTACTTTCCCAGCTGACACGCCACCGCTTTCTGTCATCATTGCTCTCTCTCTCTCTCTTCCTCTCTGGTGACTGTTGACTCCTCCTCACCTGCAGCTACCGTCCCTACTTTCGTCTTCTCCAACAGGTATTTTCGTCTTCCAATAAAATTACTTCTTCTTCTTCTTCTTCTCTCTCTATCTCTCTCTGAAACTAAAACCCTTTTTGTCTTTGATTTAGGCGAAATCTTAGTGGAACATCCGTTCTTCTTCGCTACGTTGGCCGCTCAACGAGCTCACTCCCTTGTTTCTACGGCCGTGAAGCTTTTGAGTCTTCTCAGGCTCGTTTCCTCTCTTTATCAACCTTGTTTTCTTCATCATAGCACGAATCTTCTCAATCTTTTGTTTTCTATTTTTTCTTGTGGATGATTATTTATCAGATTGATGAATGGGTAGATTACGCTACTGTATTCTCCTCCTCTGGTTCTGAGTTTGAGAATGCTTTCTCTTGCGTAGACAACTACCTTCAGAGTGCTGCCTTTCTTCTTGGCCTGTTGGCCATTCTCTTTCCATTGCTGACGTGGCTATCTGGTCAGCTCTTACTGGTAATGAGTACTCACTATCTTGCTATATATGAACCTGTTAAAGAAAAGGTGATAGTCTTTGCTAAAGGTTTAAAACTCTTTTGTTTTTTAGGATCTGGCCTTAGATGGGAAAGTGTGAGGAAATCCCAAAAGTATGAGAATTTGGTTAGATGGTTCAACCTCGATATTGCTTGACTCAACAAGGTGACAACATATTCTACAAGTGTGAAAAAGAAGCCTGCACCAAGGTCCAAGTATCAAGAACGAGTTTTTAAACCAGATGGAAAGGTCCGGAGTCTCCGGTTTGCTCCAGATTGTGTATACTGTTGGAAGTTAACTTAGAAGTTAACTTGAGGAGCAATAGGTTTTACTATTGAGTTTAGGAAATCATATGTCTCTCTATATAAGTAGATATCATTTGTGATATCTTGTGTGATTTTTAGAGATTGTGAGTTTGTGGGGTACTTGAGTTTTGAGTGATTTTTTCTCAAGTTAATAAAAAGAGAGATATTCTTAATTGAGTTCATACAATCAACGTGAGTTTATGTTGGTATAGGGAGAAAAAAAAAAAAAAAAAAATGTTGGTATAGGGAGTTCGGAGTTACAAACTTACCAAGGGGAAGTGATTGTGCGTAACATAATTCGAATTAAAAAAAAAAGAAAATTATGTATTAATGTAAACAATTAGTGCTTGTTGGACACGTGTCATTAGATGCGTATATTTCCTTCCTTGGGTGATTCTGCTAGGGTTAGGCACTTTATCCGATAGCCGAACTCGTACCCGAACCCGACCCGAAATATCCGAACCGAAATCCGAACCGAAGTAGCAAAATACTCGAACGGATATTGAGTTAGGAGAGTTTGGATATCCGAAGCCGAACGGATATTACCCGAACCCGAACGGGTATCCGAAGATAACCGAACATATGTATATATACCTATTTATTCCTAGTTTATTTATCTCATTTTATTAAAAATATTTATATTAATGTTATATATAATTTAAGATCAGATAATATACATATAATTGTAAAAAAATAATAATTGATTACTCATTTAAAATGCATATTAAGCTTCTTATTTCCTATTTTAAACAAAACTAGGTGTTTTGCCCGCACCTGCGGGCTTAACAATTTTATAATTACTTATTATTAGTAAATGGATTACTTATTATTAATAAATTTGTTGCTAACTATAAATATAAATTATTATTTATGTTTTCATTAGAAATTTTATATATTCTATAATTTGTTTGAAAAAATATTTATTATATTATTAGTAAATAAATAAAAAAATAATTCAGTATTCTTTTTTTTCAAATATATAAAATTAAGAATAGTTTATTAATATTAATTTATGTATTTTCTGCTTATGAGTTTTTGGATTTTATTTTTTTATAAAAGATATTTTTTTTTGGATAAGAACACAATATATATAAGAATATTTTGTTTACAATTAAAATCTCTATTTTAAATTTTGAATAGTTATTCTTGTTATTAATTTTAACAAATACTCTAGTAAAATAAGTATTAAAATTCTCTTTTCAATTATATAAAATTAAGAATTTTACTTGAATAATTTTTAGTTTATCTTTTTTTGTTATGAATTTTTTAATTTTTTTACTAAAAGATATTTTTTCGGATAACAACCCAAATATATTTAAGAATTATCTTTTAAATTTGGATAATTCTTGTTGTAGTTAATTTTAATAATTTAAATAATGAATAAATTAAATTCTTTTTTATTTTTAGTTAATTTATAGCTTTTATTCATTAAGAATATCTTTAGTTTATGTTTTTTTGTTCAAAAACCAACATAACATAATAAATTGTTATTTATGTTTTTTTTTAATTTTAATTCAAACATCAAATCTATAATAAATTATTATTTATGTTAGTTAATATTTTTTGATTAATATTTAATTATAAATTGTTTTATATCTTAAATTTTTAACTTTTATAAAAATAAAATATTATTTCAAGATAATAACACAATATATAAGAATTATCTTACTTTTAATTCTAATATTTTAGTGGAAATTCGTTTTTATTTAAATATTAAATTATATATAAAAATTCATTAAGGGTAACAAAGATTTTAACCAGTCTAACTTTCATAAATATTTTTGATTAATATTTAATTTTAAATTGGTTTATATCTTAACTTTTATAAAAAGAAAATATTATTTCAAGATAATAACACAATATATAAGAATTATCTTACTTTTAAATCTAATATTTTAATGGAAATTCGTTTTTATTTATATATAAAAATTCATTAAGGGTAACAAAGACTTTAACCAGTCTAACTTTCAACGTGAGAGCTCCGTTGCGAAAAATCACTTCGCAAATAATAGTATAGATTTGCATCCAAAATTCAAAAATAACAACCAAAATAATGAATTTTATTTTCAATAATTTATTTTCAAAATTATTAATCGTCTAACTTATTAAACATTTTTAAAACAATTAAGTTAATAGTTAAATTTTAAATACATGAAACATAAGTAATAAAGAATTTGAAATTTTCTTTCAAAATCAAAATATCCGAACCCGACCCGAAATAACCGAACCCGAACTAAAAATATCCGAACCCGACCCGATATGTAGAAATACCCGAACGGGTTCTATACCCCTATACCGAAATACCCGAAAACCCGAAATACCCGACCCGAACCCGAACGGGTACCCGAACGCCCACCCGTAGATTCTGCATCTCTCTTTCTCTTCGGCGAAACCTCCTGATCTCTCTTTCTCTTCCGCGACTCCTCGTGAAATCTCGACAACTCTGGATCTCTGTTTCTCTCCTTCTCTCCTTCGGCGACTCCGTGTTTTGATCGAAGAAAAGCTTTCATCTTTGCGATCAACATGTTCAATTTTTCACTTATCAAGATATCGACGTCGTTTAGATCTCTGCACTCTCTTAGATGATATGAATGTCTCAGTGGATTGATACGTAATTAGTCGATTAGATAATAAACGTTTGGAGAGATAAAAGTTTTGAGCTTTGCGAAGCTTTTCACTCTGTGATTTTTGTGTATAGGTGATTGGAAACAAGTGGGATGTGTATCTTGATCTTCTCCAGCTTGACTACACCGAAGGGTATTCTTCTTCTCGTTTTTCTTTTTTATTTATACTTTGTGTGGTGAAAGGAGACTTATCTTTCTTTGAAATTTTGAGATAAATTAGTCCAGATCTCGTTACTGGATCTGGCATAGGGAGCATAATGACTGAGATTAGTTAGCCAATCATAAAGTTTTGTTGTTAAAGGATTTAGCTTTCAATAATCTTCTGTTTATGTGCCATGCCCCTCCTAGTTTGATATTTCCTAGTTTGTAGATTTTTTCCAACCATCCATTGATAACTTTGTACATACTTCAGTGAAAATTAGAGGACTTTTTTTGTACACGAGAGAAGTTAGCCACCTGGTCTGTGATTTTTTTCAACACCCATTCGTTAGGGGAGGAAAAAATATTCAATCAATTGATGATTAGCTAATGTAACTGCTCTTCACATGTTATTGGAAGAGACTATTATCTTGTTATGTCTTTAGTGAACACTATATCGTTCTTTAGGCTCTTTTTGTTTGTTTGTTTCTCAATGAATAAAAAACGAGTTACAATTTGCTTTTTTTTTTTTGCAGGGACGCACTTGATGAGTTCAACTTGGTTATTTGAAGTTTTGAGTTTAGTGTTATGAAGTGTGGTTTCATTTTTTGTTTTGCTTTTTGTATTTTCATTCCTTAAGGGTCCTTGCTGCCTTGTGCTTCATTGCTTGTGCTTCAGGACATGAAGTTGGTTGTTGCGTGTTTAAGTATCTCAAGCTTTCTCTGGTTTGATTTTCTCTTCTTCCGTGTCATGTGTGTTTCAGTGTTTTCGAGGTTAAAGACAAGGAACCAAGAATGGTACTTCTACTGCTCGTTAGACAAGAAGTACGGCAACAACAGCGCTAGAATGAGCAGATCCACTAACATAGGCTCAAGTATTAGATTTGGTTCCTGGTTACTTTTTTAGCCTCAATTGATTAAATCTAATGATGATCAATTGAGGAACGCACAAGTTTTAGACTCTCTTATCACAGACTCTCTTGTACTCACATGTATTCACATGTAACTTGTCTTTTATTCTTTTATTGTTGTAATGAAAGTGTCACAGACACATGGTGTTTGTAAGGAAAGTGTATATAGAAACTTGTATAAATGAAACTGTATTGTCAAGCTCACAAGATCAAAGGTTTGATTCAAGATAAAACATTCTTCTCAAGTTCACAAGATCAAACATTCTTCTTCGTTCTCAAATCCATTTCAAGTTCTTTCTTCTTTATCTTCAAACAATTTATAACACATGATCTAATATTCTTCTACTAATTCTTTTTTAATAAAAATTTAAGCACCCGTAAATAAGATACTTGCAATGGAGGGAGAAAAATAAAAAGTTGCTTAACTAAATTGCTTAACAAAAAAAAAATCCTAAATACTGTTATTATATGATTAAGCACCCTATAATGGAGTTGTGGGATAATGGTGTTCTAACCCTGCTAGAGAAAAGACCAAATTTTTTGTGGACAATTTTGTCAAGGATATTGGAACCTGGGGATCAAGTATGAGAACGTGACGTACACTTCCGATTATTTCCCTGACCTGGAGAACAAGGCTGAAAAGCTGATGCGTGGAGGGTAAGGCATATGTTGATTTGGTTACACATCTAACGAACAAATGAAAGAAGACTACAAAATAAAATTTGTTCCAACAATTTTCAATAAAATTAAAGCAACGTAGAAATCTCAAGACATTTTATATTTTGAAACACCAAAAAACATCTAAAACATCATATAAAATAAAACATAAGAAGTATGTTATTCATTTCTTGGGTTGGTATCTAGACTTGATCCTCTTAACTTGTTTGGGTCTGAACTGGAATGACTTAACTAGAATGTCTTCAGGGAGAGCTCCAAAGAGAGAGGACACTAGTGATTGTGTTCCAGGCAACTGGCTATCGAAAGCTGCTATTACAGAAGCTGGAGCCGACTTAGCAATCTTCGTCTGGAAATGGAGAAGTCCTTTAGGGAAAACGAAGACTTCTCCTTTGTTAATGTACTTAGCCACGAGTTTTCCAGCGGTTGTTACAAAGCCTACGTAGAGCTGACCCTCTAGGACGAAGATGATCTCGGAGGCACGTGGGTGAATGTGCGGTGGGTTTACACAAAAGAAAATAACAAAAAAAACTCCAACGTAAAACCCTCCAAACAAACTGGAGTCTTTCCCTCAAGACGACCCATTGGCGGAGAGTCTTTCTCAAACGTTCTTGAATTTCCCTCGATACCTCACAGATCACCTTTCTCACTTGATCAGAGATTGAGCAAGGTTGAAGTGGTTCCTTGTGCTGCACGTTTTATGGATCAACGCTTAAAAACAAAATTATGGCCTAGTACGGTGAATGTAGTCATGATAATTTTGTAGTCTTAAGACGTTAATAATTTTGAAACATGTTTCTGTATATTGTATCCGTTTCCACGAGTGAAAAAGGCAGAAAGAAGTTTGAGGTGATAACTCTGATTTTACATGTGCATCGGTTTTTATGGCACTTGGATGGATGATCATGTGACAGATGATGATATATGTTACATGCATGCATTGTTGGGGGTAAAAATTCAAATTTTTGGAATGCTGTAGCGGGTTTATATGAATAGTGATGCTACACAACAACATTATTGGTAAAATTATTATTATTATTATACCTGAATCCACACGATAACAATATTTGTAAAATATCTGTCTAATACCCGAGCTAATTACAAGTATTTTCGCAGAAAGCTCAACGGCTTCTGCCCCTTAATAATAAGTTATTATATGAGTAACTGATGAGAAGAAGGGAAATAATAATGTCTTGGTTGATATATTGTATGATTTATTTATTTCCGACAACTTCATCTTCTGCTTCAATTCTGAAAGTTAGAGAAGAGTTTAGTTATGAGATTGCATATAAACTCGTATTAACTAAAAAGTGGTATCCACAATTAATACCTGAGAATTTTATCACACTGGTGGTGTGCCGTTAGGGAAAATCTTGTCTTTAATTGCCTGAAGGGATCTACGTTTTGGATTCTCTATGTAATCGATGAAGGCCTCATGATCATCTGAATAAGGTGTATCTCCGGGAAGAGATATCTTTTCCAAGCGATTTTGGTGAGCGTCGTACGTAGTAAATGAGATGGAGAGGATTTAGTAAGAGATGGAGACTTGCGAATACAAACTGGTCGTTGCCAATGGTACCAATGCATTTGTAGTACTTTCCAAAAAGAGTGACATCAGTGAATTCAGGAATCTCATATGGTAGTTTGGACCATGTTCCTGCTGCCTCAAAAATCCAAATAGGACGAGAGTGTTGATTTGGAATGTCTCTGATAAGGGCTAATTTGTTGTTAATTTTCACCAATGTAGCACCTGTGGCCTCTGAGGGTGCTTCAATAACGCTGAACTCTTCCGTGTTTAGATCGAAGCTCATTACGAAAAAGGAATTCACATCCGTCAAATAATAGGCTCCGTAGTAAAGTTTACCAACTAGACAGGGGCCGGGGTATATACAATTATGTGGAGTCTCGCAATCCACCCTTCGCCACGAACTATTTTCATCCACGAGCGATAGAACTTGAGTCTCCATGCGAGATGGACCCCGAATCACGCATAGGATCTTGAATTGTTGGCCTTTTTCGTCAAATCCAAGAAAGAAATAGGTCCCCTCTTCCATTGATACATTGACCTTTGGTAAATCCTTATACGCTCCGCCACAACCAGGGTTGCATATCACCGAGTTTCCGTTTCTGTCGAAACAGCACACTAAGCCAAGAACCATTTGAGAGATCATATTAATGGACTGAATGGAATTACACTCCAAGCGTGGAAGAGGGATTTGGTTTTGGTTCCACAGCTCCGGTGGCTTTTTTTGGAGTACGGAGTGGAACCAACGGTAGGCGATTTTCTTCTTTGGCGCCTTGTGTTGTTTTATGACATCAGTTACGAATGATGTGAATAAAATGCGAGGGTTTGCCACAGAATGAGATAAGAACTGTCCACTGAGATATTCAGTGCAAATCATGTTGTGCCAACTTTTTGAGACGCTGCACATCCTTACGGCAGACTTGAGCGGAACCCTCTTGATAATTTCCATAATCAAATCATTTGGAAAACAATTAGACATTTTCTTTTCTCTTTCATCTTCCTTCTCCTTGATGATTTGTTTACCTTTGTCACTACTAATGTTTCTCTCCATTTTCACTCTTCTTTAGAATAACAAAATCTCTCACACAAAATACAAACTTAAGAGAAGGAGATGAGTGCTATATATAATGAATATCTCACGCTTTATAATTCTCTTTCGTGTAAAAATTAAACTCACAGATTTACACCTAAAACAATAACATGATGTATATGACTCATCAGTACTAACGAACCACGGTGGGTAGAACTTATTGATAAAGTTAAAGAGTTATGTCATTAATGAGCTGATCACGACTTTGTTACTATATACCAATTCGAGTCGGAGTTTTATCACAGTTCTCTCGATTCTTGAGGACAACTTTTGTCAGCATGCATTAGACTCCATATGTAACTACACCTACCTTTTTTCTTTTCTTTTCTTCTATTATATTTTCTTCACTTATGATCCAAATATATATGTTATAATTTACAATAGAAACTCATAGGTGAATCATGATGAGGACAGTCTCCTGTTCTGTTATGTTGTAATTTATAATATATGTTGTTTTTTTTTGTCATGCCGTGCATGCATGTATAATAGTCTGTTTTAATTGCATGCATATATAATAGTCAGTTTTACGTGTAGCTGTTGACCCAGATCCAACTTACTTTAGTTGTGATTATTCTTTCTGCCACGGTTATGTACATCTCGACCGATTAATATTATCAAAATATACGAGTTTATGCTACAATATCGCATATCATTACCACATCAGTGTTTATGCAAGTTTTGATAATTTCAACGCATAGAACTTTACGTGCATATACATATATTGTATTATTTTCCGTAAATAATTAATGTTTTGTTCCTTTTTTTACCAAAAGGAAGAACATTGTTTGAATTCACCTATTTAATTTGCTTGTCAAGAAATTTAAATAAGCATTATATATTCTGAATTGCCAACAAAAACAAATACTCGTTATTTATATATATATATATATATATATATATATATATATATATATATATATATATATATATATATATATATATATATATATATATATATATATATATATTAGAATATGTTATGATTATATTGTTTAAATTATATAGGCCCTTTTTCTTTGAATTCAATTTTGTAGGCATTTTGAAAATAAGAAGAAGAGAAAAAAATTTATTTTTGATAATATCATTTGAATAAGTTAGGTTAATTTTATTTGAAACCACAATAGACGAATAATCAATGTTGTTTTGAATCACATGCATGGGGATCAAAGATGATTGAATATAATCCTTGAATCTTTACTAAAATGCCTAAGGAATATTCGAGACGTAGGTGATATTTCGCTGTCGACATGTGAAACTAAAATGCAAATTAACGCGTAAGAACATTTAATTGTTTGTTGTTCAAACGGTTAAAGTGGATTGCTGATGACTTTGTTAGTGTAAATTAGTAGGATGAAGAGCCGTGCATATACATATATATTGTATTATTTTCCGTAAATAATTAATGTGTTGAAACTGGGAAGAAACAAAGGTCTTTTTTTTTACCAAAAGGAAGAACATTGTTGAAATTCACCTATTTAATTTGCTTGTCAAGAAATTTAAATAAGCATTATATATTCTGAAATGCCAACAAAAAAATACTCGTTATTTATATATATATATATATATATATATACACATATATATATATATATAAGAATATGTTATGATTATATTGTCTAAATTATATAGGCCCTTTTTCTTTGAATTCAATTTTGTAGGCATTTTGAAAATAAGAAGAAGAAAAATAAAACTTATTTTGATAATATCATTTGAATAAGTTAGGTTAATTTTACTTGAAACCACAATAAACGAATAATCAACGTTGTTTTGAATCACATATGCATGGAGATCAAAGATGATTGAATATAATCCTTTAATCCTTACTAAAATGCCTAAGGAATATTAGAGACATAGGTGATATTTCGCTGTCAACATGTGAAACTAAAACGCAAATTAATGACCTGATCACGACTTTGTTACTATATACCAATTCGAGTCGGAGTTTTATCACAGTTCTCTCGATTCTTGAGGACAACTTTTGTCAGCATATTAGACTCCATATGTAACTACACCTACCTTTTTTCTTTTCTTTTCTTCTATTATATTTTCTTCACTTATGATCCAAATACTTAAATTATATATACGTTATAATTTACAATAGAAACTCATAGGTGAATCATGATGAGGACAGTCTCCTGTTCTGTTATGTTGTAATTTATAATATATGTTGTTTTTTTTGTCATGCCGTGCATGCATGTATAATAGTCTGTTTTAATTGCATGCATATATAATAGTCAGTTTTACGTGTAGCTGTTGACCCAGATCCAACTTACTTTAGTTGTGTTTATTCTTTCTGCCACGGTTATGTACATCTCGACCGATTAATATTATCAAAATATACGAGTTTATGCTACAATATCGCATATCATTACCACATCAGTGTTTATGCAAGTTTTGATAATTTCAACGCATAGAACTTTACGTGCATATACATATATTGTATTATTTTCCGTAAATAATTAATGTTTTGTTCCTTTTTTTACCAAAAGGAAGAACATTGTTGGAATTCACCTATTTAATTTGCTTGTCAAGAAATTTAAATAAGCATTATATATTCTGAACTGCCAACAAAAACAAATACTCGTTATATATATATATATATATATATATAAGAATACGTTATGATTATATTGTTTAAATTATATAAGCTCTTTTTCTTTGAATTCAATTTTGTAGGCATTTTGAAAATAAGAAGAAGAAAAAAAAACTTATTTTTGATAATATCATTTGAATAAGTTAGGTTAATTTTATTTGAAACCACAATAGACGAATAATCAACGTTGTTTTGAATCACATGCATGGGGGATCAAAGATGATTGAATACAATCCTTTAATCCTTACTAAAATGCCCAAGGAATATTTGAGACGTAAGTGATATTTCGCTGTCGACGTGTGAAACTAAAATGCAAATTAACGCGTAAGAACATTTAATTGTTTGTTGTTCAAACGGTTAAAGTGGATTGCTGATGATTTTGTTAGTGTAAATTAGTAGGATGAAGAGCCGTGCATATACATATATATTGTATTATTTTCCGTAAATAATTAATGTGTTGAAACTGGGAAGAAACAAAGGTCTTTTCTTTTACCAAAAGGAAGAACATTGTTGAAATTCACCTATTTAATTTGCTTGTCAAGAAATTTAAATAAGCATTATATATATTCTGAACTGCCAACAACAAAAATACTCGTTATTTATATATATATATACACATATATATAAGAATATGTTATGATTATATTGTCTAAATTATATAGGCCCTTTTTCTTTGAATTCAATATTGTAGGCATTTTGAAAATAAGAAGAAGAAAAATAAAACTTATTTTGATAATATAATTTGAATAAGTTAGGTTAATTTTACTTGAAACCACAATAGACGAATAATCAACGTTGTTTTGAATCACATACATGGAGATCAAAGATGATTGAATATAATCCTTTAATCCTTACTAAAATGCCTAAGGAATATTCGAGACATAGGTGATATTTCGCTGTCAACGTGTGAAACTAAAACGCAAATTAACGCGTAAGAACATTTAATTGTTTGTTGTTCAAACGGTTAAAGTGGATCGCTGATGACTTTGTTAGTGTAGATTAGTAGGATGAAGAGCCGTGGCTGAGAATTTTTGGCCCCGAAGCCCATTATTTATTTGGCCCCTAAAATTATGAGATTTAAAAATGTTATGAGAAAGAATCAATCTCACAAAATGTGGTTGTGCCTTCTTGGAAATTGTTAAAATCAATTAATGATTAATACGTGTATATACTTATTGTACATTATACATATAATCGGATATTTCGGGTTTTAGTTCGGATTTTGGATTAAACCGAACCCGAACCCGATAACCAAAGTATCAGCTTATCAAAACCGGCCGGTTTGGGTTTTTCGGTTCGGGTTCGGTTTTGGATTATGGATAATAGACCCAGGCCTACTCACACCTATCCGCGCTTGAGAAGCACAAATCAAAATCTAGTACTTAAATTAAAAGCATTACCAACAAGATTATTTAAGATTTGTGTTAAAATTTGACCTTTAATATTAATATAACTTTTTAAGGCATCAAGCACGTGCTTGATTAACTTGTACTCAACCACGACCATGAAGATGATGTATGTGACTCATATTTAGTGAAGTTTTTCTTTTGTGAAAATAGGTTTATTAAATTTTTTTCTTGAAAAGTTAAGAAAGGTGGTTAACAAGGTGAATGAAACAAGATATGAGCTGGACTTAACTCATAATTTGATATATATAATCCTTATAGTGGATGGGCCATAACCATAACTTAGATCATAGGCCCAGTCTGAGATAAACATAGGCGGCCATTAGGTCTTATTTCCTTTTCTACGTATTAGTAGTTTTCCTATTCCTAGTTGCATTAGGATTTGTGTAATTTTCATTTATCTATCTCGTGTAACTCATATATATATGGAGCCGTATGATCAATAAAAATACAAGCAATTTCTCTCTACAATTCTCTCTGATTTATAACATGGTGATAACATGAATTGTCTCAAAAGCCTAGCTAAATCCGACCAAGAAACCCCAGCACAGCCGCCGGCTCTTTCCTTTTTCCGGCGAAGCACCACTGCGGCTACTTTTCCTTTTTGGTTTGCGAAAGCCCTAGCTCATCGACCAGCCGCCTTTGATTTCATTTTCTCGGCCGAATACCCTAGCCAACTTTCCTTTTCACGGCGAGAAACCTAGATCGCGATCTGACCAGCCGCCTTGTTCTTCGGTGGAACCCTAATCCACGATCAGATTCAAACCCGACCAAGTTCTTTGACGATCTCCTCCAGAACCCGATCAATCGCAACCACGATCCGGCTAGTTCCGATTCAAGCACAACCGCGGTTCTCCTCATCTCTCTTGGTGGCCCGGTTCTACACATCAGTCTAAAGGTAATCTGATTAATTCTCTCTAAAACCTAGAGAATTAAAACCCTAAAATAGAAACTCTAAATCT